GTTTCAAACTCAGAAACTATGCCATTGTATCCAAAATGCATAAATCCATCACTAGGGCAGCATCTGAAGTGTGTTATTTTTGAAAGAGAGGCAGATGGGACACCTCTGTAAGGGCAGGAGCCAGAGGGGGGGGAGATCCATCTGTGCCAGGTTATAAACAAAGCAACTTCACAACTTCATTTCTTCGAAGCATCCCTATTATTTTCCTCCCTTCCTCCATTAAAGTCTTCATTAAGGTAATTATTCGACATAATGCACCTCAATGAGATTAAATGACAGAAGTGAAGTGGCAGCTGCTGCCAGAGTCACCGGATTTTCTCAGCTTCCGAGGTACTTGAAGCAAGTAGGTCTGGATTATATTTTTTAAGCATTTATCTAAGAAAAACCCTGGTGCATTCATCACCCCAGGTTTCTTAATTTCCTGCTGTTCTGATGATTAATCCAAGCACCTTTTTGCCTCTGCAGCAATGGGGGGCTTTGTCATGGGGTTTCTCTAGGAAATACTACTGAGTAGCCAAAATTATCTGGAGTTAGGGGTTAAAATAGAGCTGAGAGAAGAGAGGAGCACCTCTAGCCAGCTAACCATCCCAGTAGCATCTCCCCTTCCAACAAGAACATCTTTTTAAAAAGTTTTTCCTCGGGAAGACTCATCTTTTTGGCAGGAGATGAGCATTGGTGATGAGCCTGTGCAGCACAGCAGTCACGTCGCCCCTGGTGCCGACTCGGGCTGTCGTGCTTTCCCCGGGCAGGGGAGCTGGCAGGAGGCAGAGCTGCTGGAAATTGCTTTGCTCTCCTGAGAGGTGTTGTTCCTCAGATAAAGGTGTGACAAAACAGGAAACATTACCATTATAGAGCTATATTGTGCCCTGGAGAGGTCAGCTGCCTCGTCAGGGTTTGCTTAATGGTGCGACAGAGAAATGCTGAACAGATGAACCAGCAGGCAACATTCATTTATTCACATATTTTTTTATTAAGTATGACTAATGTACAAGCCTTGTTATTTGCTAAGGGATTTTCATTCCTCGGAGCCCCTCCATACTCCCACTCTCACTCCTGCTCATGGTGGCTCTCGTTGCCTTCGTTTTCCCTCAGCACATCCCTCCTGTCCCACAGGCAAGAGGACACAGGGACCAAGGCTTTGTCCTGTGTCACTGTCACCCACCAGCCCCCCATGCTGGGTCTGGAGCCCTCAAGGTGGGTCCTGAGTGTCCACCTCAGGGAAATTCCTACTGGTCAGTGCTGCTCCTAATTATTTACTGTCCCTGACTGTGTTCTGCAGGGAAGGGTTTCACTACATCTGGTTTCCAGGCTTGGTTATTCATGAAGTTTAAAGTTCAGGGTCAGACATTCACATGCATTGAGGCAGAGGCAGGGCTGGGGTGCTGTGGTGGGGCTGGGGAGCTTCCTTGCACTTGTTGAGGTTTGAGGCTTCTTAATTACATAGAGAAAAGTGTTAATCACAAGAGAGAAAGGCCCCTGGGTTGCTCTCTTCTCCAGAAGTGCAATAATCCCCGGGGGCACAAAGTCACTCTCACATGGGACAGCCCTGAAAGCCCTGATTGCCTTGGAGTTCTGTGGTGTGTTTTAGTGGATTTTTCACAGGCAAAACATATGCTAAGTTCCTGCCCACGGCTGACTGGCAGGCAAGAATGAATGGCCTTAATATACTGAGGAGCAAGTGCACATTATTTCACTCAGACAGTCTCTAGGAAAGATCTCAAAAACAGCCACAAATCTGCATCTACCAGAGCAGACAGCCAAGCAGACAAAAACCTCTCTCCTCAAGTGTTTCCTGATTTTTAAGCAAACTCCATTTTTACTGCATTTATCCTACCTATGGTATTTGCACTGTTACTGCTATGGAGAAGCAACACTTCCATGCACCAAACTTTAGAGAAGGAAGTATTAATGACCACAAATAAAAGCAAATAAAAGCTATTTCATAGTGTTCTGTGTGCAATTCATAGCAAGGGTTTCCCTGGTCCTGGCTCTTTCTAATGCAGATCGTGTCAGGGTTTCATTCTGAGCTCAATGCCTCACATTAGAAAATTTCCAAATTAGTTGTAACTAATTTCCAAATTAGTTGTAACAGTCCTTTATCCTGCGACAAAAACAGTTGAAATGGGGTAGAAGCAACATTGGTTATCCCAGAAGGCTGCTGAAAGCTGGGATGTGGATACAGAAGCCAATCCTCCAGCCACCTTTCTCCATCCCCTGATTTCCAGGTTTCACTCTGAAATCACTGATTTCTCACTCTTCAGGCACTCAGAGAAGTCCTTCCTCATCTGCAATATCTGTTTTCATCCCTTTACTAATTTCTGTGAAGTGAGAGGCTTTTCCTTTGAGGTCTCAGGCTGCGAACGCAGCAGGGAAGCAAGGAGAGGAGAAGGGGTCATTTTCCTCTAATGTGTGAAAGTGGTCTCATTTTAATGTCTTTAAAATTTTGGTTCCTTCAAAATATATTAGCTGAAGTATTAGCTGCAGAAAGATCACCAGTTCCTCTGTGTCCTCAAGGCATTTTCAAGACACGGTGCATCACAGATTCAATAACAACATATCTTTAAAAGAGAGATTATACAAACCAGAGAGAAATGTAACCAAAAGCCATGAGGGAACTGTGCCGGCCAGATGGGGAAGAGAGGAGCCTGAGATGACCTGCAGAGCTGCCTGTGCTCCCTGAACCTGCAAGTAACTAACCATCCCTGTCCTTACTTGGGGCTGGAAAAGCATCATTTCCCTGTCACAGCATTGCCCTGGGCTCGATGCTACAATCAGTGGTTGGAGCTCCTTAAGCCTGGCACCAGCAGGTCCATCAGGCACCCCCTGCCCGGTGGGAAATGCTGCCTGCCCCATTCCCCAGGCAAAGAGCCTGAAGATACTCTTGTCTTCAAGCCTGAATTGGTTTTCACCCATAGAAATCTGTATCACTGTTGTGATACAACATCTTCGTTGTTTTGCATTCCCTTCTCCTTCTCTTCATCCACAAAGTTTTCCACATGCTGTTCCCTCCCTCCCACATCGTTGGCACAGATGTGATGCAACCCAGGTCCGTGAGCTGGTCCCTCTGGGGCTGCTCACAGGAATCAGTAGGAAACCACCAGGTAGTTCAGTTCTGTGTGCATGTGGCACTGCCCGGTTGCTTTTGCATCTGTTTAATTCCTTCACAACTGCCTTTTTGCTCGGGTTTGATCTCTGAGAGCATTAACCCATAAAGCCCCAGAGTGATTTGCTTCTTGGTTGTGACTCTGGAACACTGAAGGCAATTTTGCCAGAACTTCCCTCTCCTTTGTCTTTCTGATTGAGCAATAACTGCTGCTTCTGTGAGATTGACTCACAGTCCATCTCTAATAGCACTTATCAGCCCTCAGGCTGCTTTGCAGAGCCACGAGCACCTTCCTGCCTGGTCCCTGTTGAGTTGCAGGGTGCAAAAGTGGGAATTACTTCCCCACCATCACTTGCAATTCAAAATTTGGCCATTGCCTAGGGTGCTAAACCCAGTAACAAGTCCCTGAAAACCACCTGTGGCTTCTGTCATTCCATTTCTCCACTGGCACTGTGTGGATGCAGCCTCTGAGTCCCAGCTCTAACAGCAGAAGTTTTATGGGTTTAATATTTGTAGGTTATGAAGCTCTAGGGAATGGAGAGGTGTTTTATCACAGATTTTAATAAGAGGATCACTTTCTCCCAGCTTTATTTACTAAATATATGAAGTCATAGAGGTCTTTTCAGTCTTTCCACCCAGGTTTGTACAGACCAGGCTTAGAAATTTGCCTGTGAAATGCTAGACTTGAATCACCCAGCATCAGGATGATCCTACATATTTTGGATATGCACCTCAGTGTCTGGAATTAGCAGGACACTTCTGACTGTAACTGAAATCTAATCTAATAAAAAAAAGTAAGCTCTCTCCTTGTCCTTTCCTCCATCCGCAGGTTAGGGGACCTTTAGCATTTAGCCCTGCAAACACAATTGCTCTTTAAATATGAAAATGCATTTTCTGAGTGCAGAGACATCAGGAGCAAGCACAGAGCTGGCAGCAAATTCTGGCTCCTACTGTCCATCAGGGAGACTCTGGATCTCCCAGCCTGACCATCAGGGAGATACCAGACACCCCAGCCTCATCGTTGGAAAAATACAGGATCTCCTAGTCCAGAACTGGGTAAGCCTTTTCCCAAAGAAGTAACAGTGATGTGCTTGTCTGGGACAGGGATGGCTACAGGAAAGACAGCACAAGGAGGTCACTACCTCATGTCCAGGGAAGGCATCCCTCTGCCCCAGCCCAAGGGATACAGGAAAGGCCATGGATCTCAGTGGCATCGCTCTGGTCCCATCCTCCTGAGGAGAAGGAAGGAAGGAAGGAAGGACTCCTCATCCTCAGCTCTCTTTGCCCGAGTGGGGGGAACAGTGGAGCCCGAGGATCGGCTGGGGACACAAGGCACCCACAGCCCGGAGCCCTGGAGCGAACACACTGCTGGGGGACTCTCAGCCCCTGTGTCTCTGCACCCTGGCTTCTCTAAGCTGCAACCCCATCCCCTGCCTGGGCTCCTTCCTCCTTCTCCTCCTCCTCTTCGGCTCAGCGGTGCGCTAGGACCCGGCGGGAGAAGGCGGGGGATGCCGGGGGGAGGCGATGGGGGGTCCCAGGAGTGGAGGTATCCCCGGGGGAGCTGCGGGCGGTCCTGAGGGAGTCCTGGTGATTCCTGCGGGTCCCGGCGGCTGAGGGAGGTCCTGGAGGCTCCCGGGAGTTGGGGGTCCTGGGCAGTCCCGAGTGATTCCCAGGGCTGGGGACTCCTGGAGGGTCTCGGGGACTGGGGGAATCCTGACCGCTCCCCGCCCCTCTCGATGGGGAGTTTGCAGGGGAGAGGGGTGCAAAGAGCCGGGCGGCTGCAAGATTTGGGGTGAATCGTTGGAAAGAAGGGAGGGAGGAGCCGGGGTGGGCGGGAAGGCGGGGAGGGGGCGCGGGGGCAGCCCCGGCTCTCGCCGCAGGGTGCGCGGGGCTCCGCCGCGAACGGCTGCGGGGACGATGGAGAACGGCTCGGGAGCCGCGGTGGGCGGCAGCGGCAACCAGAGCCTGGGCAGGATGCCCCGGCAGCCCCTGGAGCTGCAGGTGGTCACCATCCTGCTGGTGCTGCTCATCTGCGGGGTGGGCATCGCGGGCAACGCGATGGTGGTGCTGGTGGTGCTGCGCACCAAGCACATGGTGACCCCCACCAACTGCTACCTGGTGAGCCTGGCGGTGGCAGACCTCATCGTGCTGCTGGCGGCCGGGCTGCCCAACATCTCTGAAGTGGTGGCTTCTTGGGTGTACGGCTACGCCGGCTGCCTCTGCATCACCTACTTGCAGTACCTGGGCATCAACACCTCCGCCTGGTCCATCGCTGCCTTCACGGTGGAGCGGTACATCGCCATCTGCCACGCCATCCAGGCGCAGCTCCTGTGCACCGTGTCCCGCGCCAAGCGCATCATCGCCTCGCTGTGGCTCTTCACCTCCCTGTACTGCCTCGTGTGGTTCTTCCTGGTGGACACGACCCAGGTCACCTTCTCGGATGGGACACAGGTCAGCTGTGGCTACCGGGTCTCCAGAAGCCTTTACCTGCCCATTTACTTCTTGGACTTTGCTGTCTTCTACGTCATCCCACTGGGGCTGGCCACTGTCCTCTACGGCCTCATTGCCCGCATCCTCTTCATGAGCCCCCTGCCCGCCACCCCGCAGCATTCCCGCCTGGCCTCCGTGCACCAGGGCAGCTCCCTCGGGCTCTCCTGCCGGGCCAACAAGGGAGCCCTGAGCTCCCGCAAGCAGGTAGGGGCTCCCCACGGTGCTGGGACACGCTGGGCTGCAGGCAGCACTGTCAGGGGCTCGGGGCTTTGAGGGGCACCCTGGCACGGGACGGGGTGCCACAGTATTTTGCTTCCCTTTGTGGGGGGAGTGGAGAGGGTTGGTTTGCTGCAAAGAAGCCTCCCCCAGGCCCAGCTGGGGTCTGGCAGCACAGATGGGCTTGGTGGAGCAGGACAGGGCTTCAGCACCACTTGGGAGTGGTAGGAGTGCAGCTATGTTTGCTGGCTGATTAATTCCTGATTGCCTCCCCGAGGAGGGGAGGGCTGGGTCACCTTATGCCAGCGAGACTCGCCTCTCAGGCAGGGTCCTGGGCAGGTGACCTCGGATTTAAAGGAGCAAAGGGAAAGGAGAGCTTCCTTCCCTCTGAGCCCAACCTGGGCTGCAGCCCCCCCAGTCCCTGCAGCTGGGGAAGGTACTTGGATGTCACAGTGGTGTGTTTGCCTCTCGGTGATTCCTCTGTCATTCAGCTGCCTGCTCACTGCCCATTTCCTTCTCCTTCCACCTCCTTCTGTCCTCATTCCTCCTCTTTCCCTGTACACATGGACAATCACTGCCTCATGTTCCATCTCTTTGGACAGATCACTATCTAGACATGGGACACTCCTGCCTGCCTGTTCACCGTCCTGCTGTTTGCAGGAGCCCATCCCTTTCTGGATAGGCAGAGACATACTCTGTTTTAAAGGGAAGGGCTGATTCTGGGAGTTTGATTTGAGTCCTTGAGATCATTAGTTCTGTTGTGATGTCCAGACAGCCTAAAACAGGCAAACAGGCCTGCCCTAAAGTCCTTGTGTTTCCCACTCAGTGTCTTGTTGCCTGCCTTGCACAGAAACCTCCATTCCCCAGAAGAGACGAGTCAGAGTCATGGAGGGGAAGCAAACAGCCCACAGAACGTGTATTTCTTCATGCACTTCTAAGTCTTTCCAGTTCAGCTTTTCCTCCCTTTTTCTCCAGCACTGAAAGGTTTAAAGCAAGTGCCAAGTTCTGCAGAAGTATCTGCCTGCTCTCCCAGGGCCACTGGCTGCTGTGGGAGCCTCAGGCAGGGTGTTCAGCAGCGAGGGCTCTTGATACAAGGCAGGTCGATGGATCTCTCCTTCCAGAGCAGCTGCTGGAGGGGCTGCGCCTCTCCCCCCCCAGTGCTGTGCCGTGGAGTGGCTGGGCTGCACAAAGCATGCTCCAGCATCATTAGGACAAGTGGCTGTTGGGGCTGGATGAGGGGCACTCCAGATCCTGGAAACATTTTGTGCTCTTTTTTCCTTTACACTGGGAGTTTACTCGAGATCATCATTACCTCCTGAAATATCTCAGCATGCAGGCTTCTCCTGGATGGCCTGGCATCACAGAGCTGGCATCGTTAGGAATAAAGATGGCAGTGAGTTTTTAAAACCATAAAGCAGTTTTCCAGGGCTTCCTGTAGCTGAGAGTGTGTAGCTCAGCCAGTCCCTCTGACTGGAGTACAGCCTTCTCCCTCTGGCCTCTCTTTATAGAGGAACTGGTTCTTCCAGGTCCCGTGCCCAGAGTCCCCTGGGAGAGGTCCTACAGGGGCTACCTCAGAGGTGCCCATTTTTCTCCCTTGACTCTAAAGAGCCTGGATGGCTGGGGGTGTTTTGCTGTGGCTGTGCTCCTACACAGCCCCAGCACTGCACTGCTTTCAGGGTGTGGAGACGCTGCTCTTCCCTCACTGGTGCCTCGAAAACATTTAAGTCCAGAGCAGGACAACACAAGGTGTAAGTTTTACTGTGTTCGTCACTGATACAAACGCCAGCCACCTCCAAGCACTTATTTCACCTGCTGGGGAGGGACCACTAGAGGGAGTGGGATTCCTAAAAAAAGGATATGCAGCTCAGGATGATGGTGCGGGAACCAGGAGGGGGGACATTGGCTGGGGAGATGAGCTGCCCCTCAGCTTTGGCATAGGGACCCAGGATGTAGTCAGAAGTGTGTACAGCAGATATCCTTGGCCATCTAATAACGCTGGTTCACGTGCTTAAAAGTAGTTTTCAGTTTAATATCAGCTGATCTGGTAAAACATCCCCTTCTGTCTGCAAACCCGTGTCTTGCTTCTATCCACAGCTCATTTACAGCTGTTCCGTGTGCACTGTGTGCAACAGAGTTGTGGCAGAACACTTGGAAAATTGTTGTCCCTGAGCTGGTGCTACCCTGAAAGATGCTTGAAGGCCACAAAACCTAAAACCAAAAGCTTGTGAGATGTGTCTTGCTCTTCTGGATCCAGCCAGCCCTTGTAAAGGCATTGCAAAGCTCTGAAGCTTTTACTGACACCACTTGCACATTCTCTCATATCTTTCCCAAAAGGCAGCAAACTGTGGCAGCAAACAAGCTGGAGTCTTAGCAACAGCCTCAGCACTCATTGTATCACTGTGAGATCTTATTCTGGGAAGTGTCCTCACTTTTCCATTAAACCACTCACAGCAAATCCCTTCTATTTTGGCCTCAGCTTGATAACAGTCCCTTTCTTGTAGGGAAAGTTTTGTTGCCACTACCAACCACCCCCCAGTTTCTACTCACAGCATTACAGGAAGGCATAGTTCCTTGTGAGGAAGTAAAAAAAGCACTCCAAGAAAAGTTGAGAGACTGTAAATGTGATCTATGATTATTTCCATACCGAGAACTGGAGTTATTGCACAACTCCCCCCCTGACGTTTGCAACGCCACTGCCTTGATATGAATGTGGCATCAGTGTTTAGTCATATTTTCCTCCATGGGGACGTGTGTATTTTGTAAGTATTTGTTGCATGAGGATTGTCACCTCCCAGAAATAGCTGTTGAAATTATTAGAATCACTGAGGTTTCGGTACAAACACCCATTTTCCCAAACAAGCTTGTGTCGAGCTGAGGGCAATTACTGCTCACTTCTGAATTCTCAGTTTCTTCTTGTTCCCACTATGTTAATGTAGTACTTCCCCAGTGTGCTGCAAATTAAAATAACCCATGCCAATTAGCTAAGTAACTCCCATATCAGCACAAGGAGGAATTTCTTTAAGACTCCTGACAGTCTCCTCTGCCCCCACGTGTTGCTCTGTATCAGGAGCCTATTTCCTGGAATAATATATCTGATGTAGGAAACCAGGAAACCCTAGGCAGGGAGATGAGATATATCCTATGGCACTCCCAAAACTTAGGTCTCTACTTTTGGACAAGTATTTTCCCCATTGATTTATTGTTAGGCACAACTGTCAACTTTTTTTTTTTCCTGGTACAGAAATTTCTATGATTATCCTAGCCCACTTCCAGGATGGTGGATGGTTCTGAAGCATTTTAGAGGATCTTCAAGGGTAGATGAAAACCTATAATTTAAGGGTTTATTTATGCAAGATTGTTTCCTGAGAAAAATAGTTTCAGAGATGAAGAGCTCCATGGTTTGGGTGCCTATTTTAAAAATGCTTAAAGAGAGATAAAAGCACTGTGTAGACTGAATGAGCTGTCTGCAGCACTTCTCTAGGAGGGAATGTTCTGCCGGAGGTTCAGCATCACCTGACTATGTCTCTTTTTTGCATATCCCCACCGGCAAGGTGACCAAAATGCTGGCTGTGGTGGTGGTGCTCTTCGCCCTGCTGTGGCTGCCTTACCGCACGCTGGTGGTGGTGAACTCCTTCATGGACCCTCCCTACCTGAACACCTGGTTCCTTCTCTTCTGCCGCATGTGCATCTACCTGAACAGCGCCATCAACCCCATCATCTACAACCTCATGTCGCAGAAGTTCAGGGCTGCCTTCAGGAAGCTGTACAAGTGCGAGGAGAAGCGCCCTGAGCCCCCTGCCCCGGCGCCCTACAGCGTCGGGAGGGACTGTTCCCACCCCAGCTCTGAGCACAGTGTCACCCAGCAAGAAGACCTGCACAGGCTCCCTGCCCCTGCAAAGAAGAACAAGCAAATCCTGGGACCCTGAAGCAAATCTTGGGAGCTGTGCGGCTGTGTGGCTGTGTTGGGAAAACGCCAAGGGGAATCGCTTTGGCGCTGCAGCGAGCTGCATTTAACACTTCCCCGGGGCATTTAACAAAGCACATTGTTAAAGTCAAATCGGTTTGCTTTTCCTTCACTCTAATTTATTCTTGTTTGGTGAAGTGTTAGGCGCAGATCAGTGTTTAGCATCTTTAAAGCATCTATTGTAAATACAGCAGGGCAATGCCATTCTGTGTCACATGCAAGTGCAGTTGCTTGTTGAGCTGGGCCAAAGCACTGAAAGGAAACCCAAGAAGAGAAGAACATTCAAGGAAATAAAAAACAACCTCTTCTTGCTGGACCCATTTTCTTAGAGAGTGAGACTCCCCTACCTGAATTTATATGCCTCTGACACAGACACCCTATGGGAGCTGCTTCTCTACAGACCTTATAGAGTTAATGGGGACAATTAGGCACTTCTACATAGTGTCTCCTCTCAGCACAGTCCTCTGGGGAATACACAGCCCTGCTGAGGAGATCAATGCCTTCTGAGATGTGACTACTTCTGATTGTAAAGGGATTCTCTCTGGTGGGGACACCTGCGTTAGGAATAACCAAACTTGGGTGTCATTAACCTCACGTCGTGTCTCTGGAAGCATCACAGTGTTGGTAGCACAGAAACCCAAGGTCCAAACCAGTTGAATTTGTCACAGAAAAATGAACAAACTAATACTGAGTTTTCCCTAAGGTAACAGTAATACTTCCAACATTGTGGTCTAAGTTTCTTTTGGATAATTTTACCTTTCCTGTCCAAATCCCTCTAGTTCTTTCAGTTGGAAACTGCACCCTTGTCCTGAAAGCTTCAATGTGGTGCAGTTGTGTAGTGGAGAGCTCTCCATCCCAGCTACAGCTGCATTTCAATGGCAGGTGAAGAAATTTTCTTATTTCCTGAGAATAATTTGTGAAAGTCCCTCAAGTATTTTCTGGTAAGTGACACAATTTATTGCTGCTGTCATCTTGTGAGCAAAGTGGATATTCATAACCTTCAGCATCCAAGAAACCAACCCAAGAACACTTGACCCAGACTTGCAAGAGACTATCTGGACTAAGAGTAAAATGAAACAGATTACACACGAGCCAAACCCTAAGGATCTTGCCAAGTAAAACAAGTCTCAGCCACCAGTAACCCTCAAGTGACTGCAAAAAATTATTTGAACAGCCAGTGCAGCCTCACTAGTTAACATTGGTTTTCAGCAAACTATAGTGTCAAAAGATCTTAGAATTTTGCATCCACTCAGGAAAAATATCTGTGTGATACATTTAAGAGCATAAGATGTGGGTAACCATTCTGCATCACTTCACTGGGGGAGTCAGGACAAGACCTGAAATTCCCCTGGTGTGTCAGAACTGTCCAGGACCTATTTCATTGTGTGTAGGGTGGTTTTGCTTGTATGATTATTATATTGTGAGTTATTAATTATCTACTTTGCCCCTAAAATTACTGTAGGACGAGGGAAAAGAACATTGTTTTTTGCAATTATTTGAAACACAATGGATTTGGAATTTAAGGATTCATGCCACTTTTGCACTCTTTTGTGTATATTGTGTATATTGGGAATTGAGGCACAGAGTTCTTATTTATTGTTGTTAGGGAAGTTCTGCAGAGACATTTGGGATGGAAGTGTTTTTGCTAACATGGGAGAATTTGCTTGTAACAATATTTTCTCTGGTACAGATTTTGTTTTTTTCCCCTTAGAACAGATTTTTCCTTAGCAGCTCAGAATGAGCCATTGATAAAAGCATCAAACCACAGCAGCAAGGATCAGGGAGGAGGAAGAGGAGGAGAAGGAGGAGGAAGAGGAGCCCTGGGCCATTGCTGGGGCCTCCCTGGGGCCTCAAGCACGGGCAGCATCTCCTCAGGGATGGGCTGTCCTGTGTCCCCCAGCCTGTCACCCTGAAGCTGTGGGTGCAGAGAGCAGCAGGGAGGCCAGCTTTGCCCTGAGGCCATGTGGGAAGAGGATTTACTGTCCGAGCTTGGAAACCCACTTGCATCCTGACCTAAGGCATTTTTCAGGCATGGGATGTGTGTTTGACAGACAGCCTTGATCTCTGCCAACACAAGGAGCAGCTAACTCTGAAGTATCTCCAGCAGGATATTTTCCACCTCCTCATCACATTTCCAGTCTTCACTGTTCCCATTTATGTTTTTTCCCCCCGGAGAGAGACATTCTAAAAGCGCTATTCTCTTAATTAAATTTCAGCCTCAGGCCAACAGTTAATTGATAGTTCTGAAATTTCTGTTCAACATACTTAGGATTCAATTAAAACCCAGTTCTGTTCTCCCCCTTCTGCCCTTAGCTGCCAAGTACAGCATGACCCTGTGTTATTTTTTGAGAAGTAATTGGCAGATAAACTCCCCTGGCACCACGAGTTCTCCGGCAAACGCACCAGAGCGTTAAACTCTGTAGATGAGGAATGAGTTCCTGCTCTTTCCCCCTGCATGTATTCTGACACTTTAGGAGGAGCTGAGAGAGTTTTAGCTGGAAGTGGAGGCAGAAGGTCAGCACTCAGCTTGCTAAAGAGATGCTGGCTAAGAGGACAGGCAGCTACGTGCTGCTGGGAAATAAATCACTAGCAGAAAGGAATTAAAAGAATTAACTCACCACTGTAACTTCCTCTGGATATCCAGGGTCTGAATTCCTTGTAAGAAGTCAAAGAGCTCCCCTCAGGCTTCAGCCTTCAGCCTGCATTACCTTGTACCTTGCAACATCCCACCCTGCTCGTGAAGTCTGAAGCTGTATTTTACCCTCAGCATTTATTTGTCTCAGTGGCATGAGTGTAGGCTGTGAGTTTATAAATATGCCATCAAATAAAGAATCTATTGCTCCCAAATAATCTACCACATTGAAGCTGCTCCTCAGGTTAATCTAACCTGCTACATTCCTAATTAAAGCTCATTATTTCTAACCCCTGCCCTTCCAGTGCCTGTTAACCTGCTTAAACACAGTCTGGTTTCTTCAATTACAAACAAATAAGTCCCCTGGCAGGAGAGGAGGGACCTGGTGCTGCTGCAGAGCCTTGGGGAGAGGGGAAGAATTTGTGAGCAGTGCAAAGAGGAGGATGGAGGAGGCAGAGCCTTGGGGAAGGGTTGCTGGGAGAGGGGTGAGTAAGGTTTCTGGGCCTGAAGGACCACAGGTTGGCTGAAGCTCCTCGCATTTCTCAGGGACTTTCAGTCTAGGAGACACCACATCCAGCATGTTTACCTGAATCTGGCTGGTCCCAGGGACAGAGCCCACACAGTAAGTGCCTTTACACAGTACATGGGACCTCAGCAAGGGTTATGTGCTCCTGCAAATTAACACAAAAGGTTAAATAACTTATCAAAATCTTTAAGCCCAGTCAGATTGTCTTCTCACCTTGTCTTTTTGAGTGGTGGAATATTGGGAAAATTGGGCATCTATGCCAGCCTGTGCCAGAGGAGAGCATGGCCATGCTGATGGCTCTCTGGGAGAGCCTCTCCCCTACAACACTGGCCAGCACTCCAGAAGCCAGCCTGCCCCAGGGCCACGTTAGGAAGTGACCCACAAAACACCAGCAGTTCCCTTAACAAGGGACAAAAAGGCCATGAGGGTTCCCAGCACCTCCCTGCAACCAGAGCAGGCTTCGAGCACAGTACAGAGATCAAATAGTGGTACCTTTAAATGAATAATACTCAGGTCACTGAAGAGGATGCTGAGCAATTCCTTAATTTTTTCAGAGCCACAAGAAAGTGTGGACCACACATTAGGGAAGGGACTGGAAACAGCACCTCTTCAATCTGGTCTGGCCCCCGGCTGCTTCTTTGAGCTAATTAGTTCAAGCAGGCCACAATTAAAGAGATGCTGTTAAAGCTGGGGGATAGTCCTACAGCGGTATTAATGTATTCACTCAGCAGTTATTTATTTTGCACTTCATGTGCACTTCAAGGCTTCTGGAGGGCTCTTTGGCCAGCGTTGCCCCCGAACCTGCCTGCTCTCTGCACGGGCTCAGGGGTTGCTTCTCAGGACTCCTCAAACCAAGGTATCTGTTCCAGGAGCAGACTGGGACACTCAGCAGATCAAAGCTTGTCAGTCCTGCAGGACTGACTTTTACTGAAATACCCTCAGTTCAGCAGTTAACTAGCCCTGCACATTTCTGCCCTGACAGTGTCTAAATGCAGGCTCCAGTGGGAGGGCATTGCCTGTGCCCCAAATCCCGGGTGCTTTCCCAGCTATTGCCCGAGGGAGGGAACGTGACTGTAACACCACAGGGTCCCTCTGACATGGGTGTCATGTCACAGAAGTATTAAGGACAATCTGTTTTATAATTGCTGAATTTTCTTTAATAACCACCTTATGAATTGGGCTCTGAGTGTGCTGTTTCTATAGAGACAGGGGATGCTGTGACTGCACTGGTGGCCCCTCACTGCTCCTCCAATAGGGAATGAATGCCTGAAGCCACAAGCTGGGAAGCTTTTAAAAGCTTTTTCCTCTCGGGGGGGGGGAAGGTCCTAGGGTCATCCTGGTGATAACATGATTTTGAGGGCCCACGGTGCTCCCAGGCTGGCTGATCCTCTCTGCCCTTGTGGGCACGGTGTGAGTGGCTGCTCGGAGGAAATAAAATAAAAGCAACTTTTTCCAGCTGTGCAGTGCCAGTATTTCTGGCAGAAGAGAAGAGGAGAGAGTGGCCACTGTGGGGCCCCTTGATGCCATCCCCAAGCTGGGCATGGCATGCCCTTGGCTTTCAGAGCAGGCTGGGGCCAGGCATGGGAAAACACTTCACTGGAGTTGCTGATGGTGTCTGTTACTGCTCCTGGGACTCACACTGGCTTCCTCCAGGAAGGGTCCTGAAGCAAAGGCAGTGGTGTGGAGCCAGCCCCATTCCTGGCTCCTAGGCCAGAAAGGAGCACAGGAACCCCTCTGCACGTTCTCCCTGCACCTTCTCCCTGCCAGGGCCACCCTTACCCCAGCTCTGGCCCTTCCTCTTGTCAGGAAGGCCAATAGAAAAGGTTGCTCCTGAGAGCCTTGATGCCCTGCAAGGACAGTGGAGCTGTCTCCAGGGCACCTGGGCAGGTCACTCTCAAAGGACACTGGGGCTCAGATTGCACCTTCCCTCCCGCCAGTGGAGGGCAAGGCTGCTGCCCTTCGACACAGGATCAGGCCAGTGCCTTTAGCCAAGTTCTCACATATCAGACACCTCCCTGCCCACCCCTGGGGACACTCGGATGGACACAGTGGGGGGGACACTACCCCTGAAATCAGCAGCTATTGAGCCACAGACCCCAGCACTGTTCCCCCTACCCTGAGGAAGGTGCAGGCTTCTTGTTCTGCCTTTATTAATACTTTTAAAGCAATATGTCATTGCTTTAGCAACCGACCCACCTCCCTGCTGTCTCTGCCACACATGGGCCAAAGACCTGCTCCATTCATCAGCCTGAGATTTATGAGGTGCACAGGGCTCCAGTTACCCTGCTGTCCCCAACTGATGAATGAGATGCGGCTGGTTCCTCGCATACCAGAAGCAAAACAAGCCCAGAGGAGAGTAAAGCCATCGTTTCATCAAACTCATCTCCTTAAGTCTCTACCAAGGCATGAAATCTTCTGCCACAAGACTCCTTGCACTGAACAAAGCCAAGGGTGGCACTCCTGCCTGTGAAGACTGAGCCTGCATCCCGCCAGCCTCTCTGCACAGCCCAGCTTTGCTCATGTGAGACACTCCAGAAATAGAAAAGGGATTGAAGGTTTCAGCTACTCTGGATTCCTCAGGCCCCGGGGCTCTGCTGCCCTAGGCTGGTGCTGGGCTCTGCTCTTCCATCCTCCCCCATAAATCACCCATCTGCCATCTCCCTGCCCCTCGTGTCTGGCTTTCCTCTCACTTGGGTTGTTTCAAGAGGCTGAGTGAGAGGACAGGTCACAGGCAAAGGAGAATCACTCCTGCCCAAACCCAGGAGGAATGTGGCACTGGAGGAGCAGCCAGTGACGCACAGCTTGGAGGAAACTTGGCAGCAGCCCTGGGGTCGGGAGGCAGCAAAGGGACCTGTCAGCCGCCGCCTGCGTTGCCTGGGCAGGCTTCGGGCCAGTGTTCTGCCTTTCCTCCCGGCCCAGGGCAACCTCTGCCAGAGGCCAGCAGGATGGTGGCACACAGAGTGTGCTCAGGGAGCAGGGGGTGTCCTCAGACTGCTGCCACCAAACTCCTAAAGAGCAGTAAGTGAAAACAGCTCTCCTTGCAAAGTACCCCCAGTCAATAAAAGAATGCAAGATTTTGAAAAGGGACAACTGGGGAAAAGCTGAAAAACATCCAGGTGCTGCCAGTGAAATTCTGCAACGCTCTCTCCTTTAAGACCGGAGTGAATGTGTCAACACGGGAAGAAACCTGTGGATTCCCCTGCAAAGATCCATGTGGATAAAGTGAGCAGATAACTGTTTATTATTGCACGTAATCCAGCAGAACAACCGACAGAAAACTCTGGACAGTAGTACACAGATTGTAGTAAACAGCTTGCAAAATCTGTGATGAAGGTATTTTTGTGTGAAGAGCGAAAGGTATCTGCATCTTTGTAAGACCTGAAAAGTATAACACAATATCCTAGTCAGTTTTGAAAGCATGCAGTTTGAGGTAAATCTGGTATTTTGCATCTAAGAAAATGAAACCCCTAAGGGGCTCTCTCTCTATGTATATATATCCATATCTCAGTGCAATATGGATACAGTTATATGTCACATAAAAGCAAATCTACCACCTTTTCTCAGAAGGTTACTAGGAGGAAAGCACATTAATGAGTGCATATCACATGCATAAAAAATTGAGGGGAGGGGGAATTACCTTAGCACTCTTGAAAAAGATCCATTTTTGTGCTTAGTGATAAGTAAAAGCCCCTCAGGTCTCTGGATGGAAATTCTCTTGGTGGTGAATAAAAGCAGCTGGCATATTGAAACTGCAGAGCTGGCAAGTGAATGACAGCAAACTGAGATAAAACGTCAAAGGCAGCAGAGCCTGGGGTTTGCAATACATTTATACTTAAGAAAAGGAAAAAAATAAAAGAGAAAAGAAGCAAATTGCTACTAAACTACGCTCTGTGGAAGTGTAGATGATGCTGCACAGCTTTCTCAGGACTGGTACAGCCACATGGCTTTTAGGGATCACATTCACTTCTCCCACAGTTAACACCACGTATTTGCTACTGTGGCAAAGTTCCTGAGCTGAATAAGGTTAAAAAATAAAATTGGTTCACAAAGAAAAGTACTGAATTATTCTCACTCTCTTATGCCATAGCTAGAGTAGATAAATTAGGCAGGTTTTGCCCTGTGTCTCCAGTCAGTGTAAACCCCTGCGTGTCTGCCACCCCATCTCTGAAATCCTTCCAGATTGACCTTTGGAGCAGACTGGGCATCTGTTTTTTTCCTTAACCATCATTTCCCCATTTCTTCCAGTCCAACAAGGTTTTCCCACCCAGTCCTGTGCTGTGGGACTTCAGGATACACAGAGGTGCACAACCAACTATAAATAACATCTCCGATTATCTTAAAAAGGGATAGAAAATACACATTGCTCTTAAAAGAAAGAAGAAACATGTCCAAGCACTCAGCCTCACACTAAACTGTAACTTCATCTGTGCTGACTTTCCAAGCTCGCACTGCTAAAGATCAGAGCAGATCATGGTGGAAAAATCTCCTTTCAAAGGTCACTCCCTGTCGCAGCTTTGGGAAAATCGGTGCAAACCGCCCAGGCCTCAGCCTCGCACACAACAGCTGGAACTGCCCCACTGTACTCTGCCCCTGCTGAAAGCCTGGCTGCTGCGTATTTCTGAGCCCAACACCCAAATACACTGGAGTCACTCGTGTCTCTGCACCTCTTTTCTTTCAGGAATAAGGTAACCTCTCCCACGACAGCCACCCTGCATCCTCTGGCTGGAAAGTCTGTTCGCTCCATGCAGTGAGAGCCCAGGAGCCCCCCTGCAGCTCAAGGGGAGGAACCTGCAGGCATACAGAGGTATTTTCAGCAAGTACCTCCTTTTTACTGTAACTTGCAACATTTTCATAGAAAAAAGGGGGTAAAGGGACAAATTCAGCACACCTGTTTCCTTTTCCCGTTACAGCGGGAAGCCACCCACTGCAAGACGCTTCTGTGCAGAGCGCTGTTGGTGGCAGGAGAACACTTGGACGGTGCCTGGTCCCAAAACAGGCACCATCTCCACCCACAGCACCCCCACATGCACCAACAGCCTTGGATCCACCAGTCCCTCACACCCCACCCCGTGGCCCCGCCCGCGATGCGTCAGCCAGCATGGGCAGGACTCGGGTTACACTTCAACAAGCCCAATTTCAACTTGCTCCCCCTCTCAGTCCTCCATAAGTGGAAAATGACTCCAGGTGACGGGGGGAAAGGAAAGACTTTTTGTTCATCCCTTTGGATGACTTCCAAGCACGGAGGGTGACATCGTCCACCCCTGGCCATGGCGCGGCTCTCAGGAGTCATTCTGGTTGCTGTGTATCGCTTCAGCTCCACGCCATGGGTGATAACCTTTGGAAAATCTCTGACACCAAGTCAACCAAGGGAGTTACAAAACACGTCAGTGTGCACGCATGAGACCTTCTCACTCGTTTTCCTACTGCTACAGATAAATCCCTCATCCCCGGCGTGGCAGGACAGTTGATGGCTTTGGTGAGAATAATTTAAGGCAACTGCTATTTTATACAAAGAAGGGAAGGAGACCACAGTGCAGAAATCCTGGCTTTTCCTTGGTAGATTGCAGAGGCCAGCCCCAGCCTGGGAGCAGGAGACTGAACTGATCTTCAGGTGCTCTCGTTTAAGGTTGATGTTTGCAACCTTGGGATCTCAAGTCCTCCTCTTAGGTGTTTCCGGGTGGCTGAGCTTTAATCCCCACCAAGGTCTGAGGTCTCCATCAGCAGCAACGCCTGTCCCAGACACAGATCAACACGAGAGTCAAGGGGGAGCAAGACACACAACCAACATGTAACTGCAGTTGTCTGCAAGGCTTTCACCTGCATGGTCTGAATGGGGACTAATAACACAACACAAAGCAGTGTCCAGCAGAGCAGTTTCATCCCCCAGTAGGCCCCAGGAAGGTAGCCCAACACCCTCACAGGGGCTTGGGAGGTGCCTCTTTGTGTTATGTTTACATGAGGCTCAAGGGTCAGGTTCAGCCTTGATGGCAGATTTTTTTGAACTATTTGAGCTCAAGGTGAGAGAAATCTTGTTCAAGCCCAGGACACATTCCTGTTTGTAGGAATCCCACAGACAGGAGAAACCTCAAAAAATTTTACTGCCACCAAATCCATATTCAAACCCTCATCCCAATTCAAGCTCCAGTTTAACCTTAGTCTGACAGACATCTTGGCTCATATTTACCTTTAGTAAAACAATCACGTAACAGCGGCTGCAGAACTTGCACTGGTGCAATTAAACTGCAAATTTCAGTTTCATATTTTCTATGAAAAATGAGAACCAACCACTGAAGTTACTCCACAAACCACTGTTGGAACAAACAAGGGGTAACTGAGAATCTCAATGCTTAATGCAAGGTAATTGCTTTATTGAATAAGTGCCCCTGCATTTTCATCACATGGGCATCTATCAGTGAATGATTTGCATGGATGGTAAAGCGAGTCAACCCTAAAACATCCAGTGAGGTCTACAAGTGAGGGTAAAATCTCATTCCTCTTCTTACCTTGTCCAAGAGGCTCATCATGTCAAAAAATGTACAAATAGGATGGCCAGACCAATGTTCAGTAAGATGACCATGCAGATCACGATTGTGTTAGGTCCCTGAAGGAAAAACCCAAAACAGAGTATTACACACCACAGCTCCAGCAGAGACAGATGCAGCTTGATTCTGCTGTTCAAAAATACTACAATCACCCCCTCCTGACACGCTGAAATCTGGCACTTAACAACCAGCCTGAATTTCAACCTAAGGGAACATTTATCAATCCCTATTCCTACTTTTTCCCTGCAAACTCCTTAGAAGGAGGCTGAATCAGGCTTTTTCTGAGGCTAAATCAGTTTAAAGGAGACCCCAACCACAGGCACATGAACTGCTGAGCCCATGTCAAGCTGCTCCTCCCAACTCCTTTCTGCACCCCCTAGGCCCACGTTTGTAAAGTTGCCATTTTTAAGATGAATGAAAGCACCCATATGAGATTCTCGTAATGCTTTAATTTCAGACTGAAATATTTCCAAGCTGGGCTTTTCTAAAGTCACATCGGAACCATTCATGTCCAAAGGGCTGCAAGATGAGACTCAGTGGTCTAATAAAATGTCTGGATTTCCAGCTGTATTTGCTAACAGCAAAATTGAATTTCAGTGAGTGTATTTTAAACCTGGGAAATCAGCTGGTGATTTGACACCACCGTTCAGCTCACCAGGTGCCCCTACAGCAAAAAAGTAAATGTAACAGATAAAAGAGAAACACACTAGGTTTTTTCCCTGCTTTTTTTCCCCCAATATTCAGATCAATGTTGGCTGGTAAAGTGGTGGGAAAAGGGGAGAAAAGTCTAAAACATGATTTGGAAGATGTCTGTTTTCCCCAGATTTTGAAATAGGGATGTGTCTGAAAGCATATCTGCTCTGGTGCAGAGAGGAGGTCAAAACAGGAGGGTTATGAATGCCAGCCCCAGCATCTGGAGCAGGGCAGGCTGGGACAGCGGCAGGATGGGGAACACCAAGGCTCTGCTCCAGCGAGCTCTGGCATTCCAAAAGGAGCCTCTGGGCACTGCTGGGGGCCCGCTGCAGGCTCAAGCCTGTGGGCTCTGCATCTCTATGGGTCCTGTCGGACCCCCTGGGAACAATAAATGAAAGGCCAAGGTAGTTTCCTGGGGGACTCCCAGGGCTGCTCCACTTCACCTCTTCGCACTCCTCCACCTTCTGTGCTGCCACCACCGCCGCCGCCACCGGGGTCGGGCTCCGCTTGGCCCCTGCCTTGGGCTCCGTCCACCCTGGTGCCCTGGCCTCAGTCTTCCTGTCGGCCGTGGGCTCAGCCCGGCCCGTGGGCCTGCGCTCGGGGCTGTGGCGCTGCTGCAGCTCCTTGGGCCGGGGCGACTCTGGCTTGGCCTCTGCCACGGCCGCCAGCTTCTCCTCCCGCTCCTGCAGCGGGGCAGGGGTGCCCCCTCGGCGCTGAGGGTCCCCCCGGGGCTCCGGGGAGGGTGGCTCGTGCTCGGGGAACTGCTCCTCCTCATAGTCCGTGGCGGGGGTGACCGGGGAGGTGCGGACGGCGTAGCTGTGGTAGCCCTTGAAGAGCTCGACGTCGGGCTCGAGCGCCATGCGCTGCAGCGGCCCAATCTCCATCTGCTCAGCAGGGCGGGCCCGGCCCCGCGAGGCCGGACGGGCCTCACCCTCGGGGGGCGCGGGGCTCCCACCCGCCTGGCCGCCCGCCTCGGCCCAGCTGCCCGGATGGAGGGCACCATCCTGCTGGGGAGCCGCCTTGGCGCGCTTGGCCTCGGGAGGGGTGGCGGCGGGGCTGGGGGCCGGGCTGGTGCGGCGCGGCGGCTCCTCGGGCTCGTGGAGCTGGGGGCTCTCGGGCGGTGTGGGGGGCGGCGGGGCACCCTCGGGCCGCGGCGCCTCCTCCTCCATGTTGGCCGTGTGCTCTGCGTTCTCGATGATCTCCTGCAGCAGCTTCCGCTTCTGGTACTCGGGGCCTGCGGAGAGAGGGGTTGGTGTGAGGAGTCTCCCCAGGGCTGGGGGACGGCACCATCGCGGCTTCGGCAGCTGCGCCCCCTGCCCTGATGGATTTGGGGATCGCTGTGCAAGTGTCCGGGTTGGAGGGTGTGAGAAGGACACAGATAAGAGCCTGCTGCCAGGAGGGATTTCCTCCAGGAGCAGCCAGAGGCCCCAAGGCCCATCGTGTGCTGCCTGGTTGGGAAGAGCCAAGCCGGAAGGAGCAGGTGGAGAGCTGCAGATGAGGGTAAAGAAACAATGAAAATCTGCAGCCCAGCTTGTTGTGGTCACACAGATGGGTCATGCTGGGGCTAAAGAGGATACCTGGTACCATCACATGAGCTGACTCAGGGTTTCGTTCTGGCCTCATCTCTCATGCTGACTTATGAGTTCCTAGCAATGTTGCCTCACTTCAATTATTCACTTATCATTAAATCTTTACTTCTTATTAACCCATTAAATCTTTACTTCTTATTAACCCTAGGCCTTGTCTGCACAGGAAATTGCAGCCCAGCCTGGGTCTGGAGAAGTCAGCCAGAGCCTGACACTGAAGATATCTATCATAGTGCATGTCTGGCTGACCAAAATCCACCACTAAGCAACTGGGAATATCTTGTGGAATAACAACCCTGCACAGTGCTCTGTATGCTGGGACATGTGCTGGGATAGGGGTCCTTGCACATCACCATGATGATCATAGCAAGTGAGAACAAGAAGAGCATCATGCCCTTTATGGGCAGTGCAAGGTCACAAAGCATCTGGTTAGAAAGCCAAGCGCCTGCTTTGCCCTTATTCTGCTGAACCTCAGTGATGCTGAGGGGTGCAGACCTACAGGGCTTGTCTGTGCTCCTGAACAACACAGATCCTGGAGCTGCACCACCCCTGGCTGCCTCAAGACCCCTCCCCTTGTCTCCTCCACCCAAGAACTGATGCAGACTTAAGGCTGGTTGGGAAATTTGGCTTGGTGCTCCTTTCTCTCTAATAAATCAGTGGTATGATTTGCACACTGCTACCTTTTCCTCTGCTTGGAGGGGCAGTGGGGAGAAGGAGGGCACTGATTTTAGCTGCTCTGCCCTGCCTGCCCACTCCTGTCAATCAGCAGGTGACCCATTCAGGGCCATTTATTTCTGGCTACCAGTGAGTTATTTGGAAGCCGTTTCAACAGTTGTTCAGACTCTTCAAAATAGGCTGCCTGCAGCTCCAGGCTCCTTGCTCTCTCCTGCTGCTTTCTTGTCTTCCTGAATAATTCACACCAAAAAAACCCCAAACCAACTGCCTGGAGAGCACCACACTCACCTCCTCACTTTCATCTCCCAGCATAACATTTCAGGAAGGGCTTTGGCTTACATCTCTGTCCTCGAAGCTATTAGGGATGATACCCTAACTGAAATCCGGGGCTCAATACTTATTAGAGATAGGAGGCTTGCTGAGCAGGATTGTCTGTGCCAGACACAGCAGGGTCTATCTGCCAGGATAGCAGGGAGAAACACAGCTACAAAACACTACAGGGCTCTCTTAGCTCTGTGACCAGCAGCTCCCAGTCCTAGTAAAATCCAAGGGTGGACTTTTGTCTGTTTGTTCCTGGATGGTGCAGCCGTGCAAGAAGAGGCATCTGCCCTTGTTGTGCACTTAGGAATTTAGAGATGTAAAAGAATCGTGGAAGAACAACATGCATCAGCAGCTTACAAGGCCTGGAGAGAGGGAGTCCAGGACCCAAGTGAGGTCCTACATAACAGCAACATCCAGTATCTGAGGAGCCAGAAGTGGAGGTCAGGCTGCCTCGAGCATTTTACAGAGACCATTTCAATTGTCTCATTCAATCAACATGGGTGGAAAAAATAATCCAGCTGGATGTCCAAAACCTCCCATTGGGAATTCCAGTTTCCTTTGCCTCTGTGCTATAAATACCCCAGTGTGCAAAGAGTGAATGTGGAGCTGTGAGTGGCAGCTGGGGGGGCTTATGTGAGGATCAAGCAATGGTTAGCCATTGTTAAATGAAGTGCCACACGCTGGCTCATGCCCATGCCCGGGTGCTGTGGTGTTTCCCCACTCAAAGCAGCTCTGACAGGCCTTGCTGGAACAGGCAGCCCTCCAGCACAGTGTCTCCCCAGCTGGTAGGTGCAGAGCAAGGTGGGAGTACAGGGGATTTAGGCAAATCTGTCAGCATGACTCTCCCCAGCCAAGTGCTGGTTGTGAGCTGTTCCCCCTGTTCCCCCTGTTCTCCCTGTTCCCCCTGTGCTGGGGTGTAGTACGGGAGATGCAGAGACACCAAAATCAGAACAGGAGTAGGTGTCAGGTTTTGCTGAGCAGGAGTCAACCTTTGGCTTCTAACCCCAGTTCTGCTGCTATGATAATCCCTTGTGATCCTGCCTCAGCAGCCATGGGGCACTCATTGCAGGCAACAAAGCCAGATAATAAGAAAGATGGGATGCAAATGTAGGCACTTGGAATCTTATTTTCTGCTCTGTTACCACCTTCCCTCTCTAGAAAGGAAAGTTTTCCAGGAAGGGCTAACTCAGTCTAGGGAAAGGTAATGGCATTCACAATGCTGCTTCTAATATTACACTTCCTATCTACTAATCCTCAGTGCTTGGTCTCACAGAAGGAACCTCCCAAGTGCTTTCCCAGCCAAATAATCAGCAATGATGGTAACGAATAAATAGTGAATCAGGGAAATAGTATTTTGCATTAACTGCTTTCTTATAGGATATTACAGCCCCTAATTAGCAGAGTCTGATTGTGCCCTTATGCATTGTGGGGTCCCACAGGATATGGGCTTGGGAGGTAATGTGCAAAGCTGTTCCAAGAAAAAGCCACAAGGGATATATCTACAGGAGTGCTGCAAATAGTCCCAAGCTTGCTGCCTGTCCTGCCTGGAGTTCTGAGGGCTTCGGTGTGTGGAAAAACATGGGGAGAGGTTGAGGGACTGTGGGATTTTCCTCCAGTCTATGGTAACACAGTGGGTAAAACAGTGGTGTAAGGAGAGCAGCAAAACAGCCAGGGCAGGGGGCTGGCTGAAACTGAGCAAAAGAGGATTTAGGACAGACAGGAGGGTAACTTGTAGAGTTATAAAGTGGGTAAAATATTTGAACAGATTCCCCAAGGAAATTGCAAAACCCCTCTTAGAAGATGCCTCTGATCCTACCTGGCTGGTAGAAGTCTGGGGAGAGCTCCCTGGCCATCATTCTGGCTATGCCCGACTCGTTGTTGGCTGCCTGAGCTGCCTGCTCAGACCCCTCAGCCTTGGCTTTGGCGTGAGCCGTCCTGTGGAGAGAAGAGGGGACAACAGTGAGCACCCTCTGAGCCAAGGCTGTCCCAGCTCGAGCAGCAAACCCTGTCCAGCATCAAAAACAAACCAGCCCATCTGGTATAATAGCACTCAGCATTTGCCCAGGTGACCCCAAACCTGACAGCCAAGGAGAAAAGACCAGATTTTCAAGAAGGAAGGGGCCCAGCTGCTCAGAGAGAAGGTGGGAAGGTTGCATGTAGCTGCACAAGGGCACAGGGCAGGTGTGTTTGCAAATGTGAGCATGTTCTTGTGTTGCAGTGAAGCAGCAGGTGCTGCTTGTTGCTGTGCTGCTCAGAGGAATGCCCAAAGCATCACACAGGCATCTTTGGAGCATAAAGGGGACAATATGTGGTGGCTGAACTCTGCTGTGCTCTCACCAGCCCTGAGCTGCTGCACCTCACCAGAGGCAGCGTGTCCCTGCCCCACACACCCCTAAGACAGGTTTTACCCCAAATGTCTCTCCTGTAGCTCTCCAGCAAACACCACACATTGTCCAGGGGCTCCTTTACTCACCACAGCCCATGGGGCTGCTCTCACCAGTGTAGGAAAGACAGAGCTATTGCCTCTGTCTCATCTTGGCTCCCTGAGTCCTCTCCACTTCTTTCCAGCACATCTTCTCCTTGCTTCATAGGGCTACAGGGCTATGGGAGTTATTTTACTGGCCAGCTGTCATATTCCTCACATGCCTCACGCTCGGAGCCCTGTGATCTTTTTGCTAAAAGCAGGGTGGCTTTACAGCCCAGCTGCTCAGTCTGGGAAGGAGCTGACTTCAAACAGCAAAGTTGCACCTTAAAAATAAGGGTGGGTGAAGCACCAAATATTCATCTGCTTTGTTCCACCTGGGGCTTACCAAGAGCTGCCTTCCCCATGCTCTGACTGTCAGGTTTGCCAAGGCTGCCCATAGCTCCCATTTTACATACAAACCCACATATTTTTGTGGGGACAGTTAAGATAAGGAGTTAGCATTCCTCAAACACCAATTCACCCCGAATCACAACCTTTAACGTGAACTTAGGGTGTCTGATGAGCCCTTTTCAGATTCAGGTTGGCATCTGGTCATGTTTTAGGATAAAAAAAAAGGAGGAAAGATGCACTTCTCATCCCGGCAGTGAAAATGCTCCAGAGGAATTTTTGGACGGTTAGTCGTGAAATCAGGATTAATTCTTTCCCATTAAACTGAGATGCAGTAGGCAGACAAGACTAGCTGTAGTCAGAATACTCAACAGGTGCAATGAGAAAGTGATAGAAATGCTGTTCTGAGAGCCTTGGAAGGGAGAAGATACACACATATGCCATTCTGAGTAGCTGCAAAGAAAGAACTAAATGTGAGACATCAATCCCAACTGACACAGGCAAGAGTGTGACTTGACAGGGAGCTGAAAACACTGTTCAGGGCCCTGCAATAGAGGAGAGGGTGTGGAGCTGCTGTGGCTCAGCCTATCCCTCCCTGGGATGACATCCCACTCCTCTGGAACCATGATTCACCTCGCTGCCCACACTCATATGTTATCTCCCCGCTTCCTCTGCAGGCTGAGCTGCCTGGGATTGCAGTCATTCTTGGTCTTTTTATCCAAAATTATTACAGCTCTTGACAAACTCAGAGACCAGACATGATGAGGCAGAAAACAGCATTTTTAAGCTGCTGCTCACAAGCAGGGGGTCTGAGCCAGCTCCAGACAGAGAGAGCACCTCCTTTTTTGGTAGCGTATAATCAGCGTGATTAATTCCACTATAATCTGGCAGGGGCCAAGGGGGATATCTCTGTGCTCTCCGTGCCTGGGGGATCAGAGTGGGCTGGGCACACTGTGCCTGGGGCACACAGCCTGCCTGGTGCTGGCCCCTGGGAACAGCCTTGCAAAGGGGGATCCAGCTCTTCATCCCGCCAGCATGGGCTCCAGCCCCTGGCTTTGTCCTGCTGCTTTGTCCTGCTGCTTTTGGAGGATAAGACTCACCACAAGAGATAAAATTCTCCCTTTCAGTTGCTTGCTGAGCTGGGAGGATGCTGCCCTGACCAATTCCCAGCCAGACAATCAGCCAGCTGGCCCCAGCTGGAGGAGCAGCAGACAGCTCCTGACAAGTGCTTTCCTCAAAGTGGCTCCCAAAAAAGTCATCTGGAAGTGGACTAGACGTGGAGTCTGCTCTCACTAGTAAGGACAGAGCTGGACTCCACGTGTCACCCAGCGGGTGCAGGTGGCTCCCACATGCTCAGCTCTCTCCCAGCATCTCGGAAAAACACAAGAGAACAGCCTGGGGGTGTTGGAGTTACAAGGTAGCTCCCAGTTATGCTTTTCTCCTGGTGGAGATTTCCTTTCCTCCAGAGGAGCTGCTGGATGCTACTTGGCTGCTGTGTGGGGCTTGAGTACTGCAATTCCTGCAGATGGCAAGACCAAGGAGATGTCAGCCTGGGTTGCAGAGCCTGCAGTGAGACCCTGGGGGAAATGAGGAGCTGAGCCACCACGGCCCCAAAGCTAGAAGGGCTCTGTCATGAGCCCTCCTGGGCACAGAGGGGTGTCCAGCTTGGGCACCTCTCAAGCTCCACACAGGAGCGGTGGCAAGAAGCTGAGCAACACAACTTTGGGATCCTGCATTGCCCAGGGACTGCAAGCTGCATGGCAGCTTTGCCCAGCTCTCTGGCTCTGCAGGACACATTTGACCTCTGCTCCTGTCTCCTTGCTCACAAAGTCATCCAGAAGTGTTTGATTTGGAGTGACTATGGTCAGCACAGCTGCAATTTCAAATCTGACACCTCCAGCAGCCCACGTGTTGTCCCTGTTGGCATCCCAGGAGAGCGCTGCTCTCCCAGACAGCAGGGATGCTGATGCCCCACGCTGGGTCCCTCCACTGCTGAGATAATTTATTATGGCAGCAGCTAGGTGATGAACATTTGGCTTTCATGGTTTCTTAAGTACATCTCCCCTGGCTGTGCCACACATCCCTGGGGCACCAAGTGAAGGCAGAGCTGCTGCAACCCTCCAAAAACCCACGCCGAGGGTTTAGTAGCACTGTGACAAAGCCCAGCCCGGAGGAAAGGGCTCATCTATAACAATAACATCTAATTGGGCCTCGAGTATTCCTGAATTTATTATTTATCCTCATGGCTGGCAGTCCCTGGGAGCTCAATGCAGAGAAGGAAAACCTGGCTCTGGCAGCAAAGAAGGAGACAAATACCAGCTGCCCTGGGAGAGCCCAGTGCATGCAGCCCATGGCACAACAGCCTGTCCCAGCCCAAGCCTGGGGTCTGCCAGGAGCAGGAGTTAAGGAAAGAAAAAGCCCAGGGAGGTTTGAGGGTGTCAGGAAGGTGATTTTTGAACCTCGGACGTGAAACATGTAAAGAGAAAAATTTCTTCCGAGGTTAAAATCTTCTGAAAAAGCTGAATCAGCTTTCGCAAAATGGAAATGCCAGCCTTTTATTATCTGAATGTAAATTTGATGTTTTTCAGGCAGCAATTTAATCAGGGCCAAACTTTTTTATTTACTGCTTGTTGTGCTGTCAGCTCCCGGCACCTCTGCAGAAAGCAGCCCCTGCAGAAACCAGCAGAGGAGAAAGTTTTGAGATGGAGGAGGTCAGGGGGAAACTGAAACACAGTCCCACGGGTTTTAGAGGAGCCAGCAGCAGAATTCAAAACCCCTTTTCAAGGCAGTGCTGGAAAATGAGCCACAAACACTAAACACATCCAAGTGGGGGTATAAACACAAAGAGGGGCCTTTACAAACCCACGTCCCAGCCGAAGCAGTGCCTCTGGGATGAACACTTCCCAGCTGCACCCTGAGCCACCTCCCTGGGCAGTGCTGTTAAAAATATCTCCAGTGAATTCTTTGCAAGGAGGAGCAGCAGCCCCATGCTGAGCTGAGGGGAGGTATGTGGGCAATGTCTGCAGCCCCTGTCCCAGCCCTGCTGCCGCTGCCTCCCGGCTGGCTCCCAGCAGGATGGGAGGGTTAAATGCATCTGTTGTTTTATTTGCTCCTCTGGCACGGCTCTAGTGCTCTAATCGTTTTTGTACTAGTGCAGGACAGAGAACCACTCCTGTCCTTCCTGGCCATCTCCCAGAAACACTGCCTGAATCATTCCTCGGGCTGCTGCTGAAATCCCTGTGGACACACGAGCCACAGCCGAGCACCGTGCGAACAGGTGAGCCCAAAGCCCAGCCAGCATGCCCAGCTCTTTGGACAGTTTATGCTCTTTTGCACATCCACGTTGGATTAGACTGCAAATGAGATTGGAATTAGCAGAGAATACTGCAAATACCAGGTGGGGTTGGGGTGCCTGCAGGTGCAGCAATGACCTTGCTGCTAGAAATAGGGCAAGAGCTCAGCTCTCTGCCCAAGCTATTCCCATTTGTTTATTGAGGGAATGACAGACCTGTCTAGAACTGTCCTTCCTTCTCCAGGGTCTCCCTCCTCCCATTGATACAGCAAACCCTGAGCAAGGATCAACTGAACACCTTCTCCAACCCAACCCATTCTATGATTCTTGCCACTCCTGGTATTATGAGCTGTCAAAAAGACAACAAAACAAATGTAATTCATCAGTCAGCTCTGGGAAGGGAGACTTCTGCTGACTTCTCCACTCCCAGCCAAATCCCCGCTCCAGCATCCAGCAGGAATCATTTTGTCCTTCTGAAGAAACTTGAGATAACAGTTTGTCTTGGCAGGAATGTTTGCAGCACTCAGAAGGGATAGAGGGAAAGCTGCAGAAGTGTTTTTGCTGATGGCAACGTGGTCCTTTCTGTCTTCACGATCATAAAGGGTGAGAGAGCACAGACCTGACCAGCACACACCTGTGCTGAGGCTGGGACTGGATGATCTTTAAAGCTCCCTTCCAATGCAGACAATTCTGTGATTCTACATCCTGACCAGGACAGAACTTTATGGCTTCTCCATTTTCCACACTGTCTTTGGACTTGTGTCACCTCTAGGGCTGGGGCATCCCTTTCTTCCTGCTTAGTCCCAATCCATCTCCTTTGTGTCTCTCCCT